TTGCACTATAATCAAAAAGAGAAAAAAAATAAAAAAAAGTTTTTGTTTCTATTATAAAATTTAGCAAACAAGTATTTTTTCTCCTTCACTGACGTGCGTTGATGAGGCTGCACTGATGGGCAGGCATGGATTGGCAGCACTGATGAGGTGGCACTGGTGGGCATTAAAGAGGAGGCACTGATATGCAGCAATGATGGTCACTGATAGGTGGCACTGCTGGGCGCAACTGCTTATACAGCACTGATGGGGGCACTGATCATTAGTGTCCTGATGATCAGTGCTGATCTATTCTGTCACATTTGCCAGTTATCGGCAGGACTTTCCTCATGCTGTGACAGTGTAAGGAAAGTGCTGTCGATAACCGGCAACTGTATGTACTCCGTGATCTGCTGCGTCATTGGACACAGCTGATCACGTGGTGAAAGGTTGTTGTGATTGGCCTTTTACCTCATCACATGATCAGCTGTATCCGTATGACACGGAGATTGCCGGGTGCACGCCGCTGGGGGCGCGTTCTGGGAGGACATGATATGACGCCCTCAGAACTGGACAACCACACTGTAGCCATCATTCTGCTATAGCGCGGTTAGCAAATGGTTAAGATTCATAATCCTCACGCAAAAACTGGAAGTAAGGGGTGCTTAAAGAACTCCGCTGAAGGCAAGGGTACTGCTTCCTGTGTACAAGGCTCAGGCTAACATTCACAGCTAAAATGAAACTGTTCCTGTTTGCAAAGGCCTAAATGTTATCCTGCTTATTTCAGTCAGATGAGCCATTCTGTTGATTCTTAGGTCTTGGATATCACCCTCTTGTCTCAGTTTGGAGGTAGAGATCTTCTAGACATCTGTTCTCGTTTTCCAACAGTTTGACTCAAAACAAATCTAAGTGTCAGAGATGCAGGTGTGACCAGAGATGTGTGTACTGACACAGGGAAACGCAGGCTTCAGATATGGTATAAATAAGACAATTTATTAAAGACTAACAATACAAACATAAACGCAGTGCACCAAACCCCAAGCTAACACAAATACATACAACAAGGTGAAACAAACCCAAACCTAAACTGGTATAGATACATAGGTACATACACATATAGAGCACAACGTAGTCAGGCAGGCCGGGTTGATAACTAGGCAGGTAGGTACAGGAGGAGCAGGCGGAGAGAATGGTCAGGGTCACAAGCCAGGGATAAAAACAGGAGAAGTCAGCAGAGGTCAGGATCAGGCAGGGTCGGCAAAAAGTCAGGCAGAAACAGGAACAGGAATGCAGGTTACAAGATACAGGGGCCCATGGAAAAACACACACCAAGGCACAGACTGCAGGTCTGGCCATCCCTTAAATACACCTGCAATCAGCCCCAGGTGATATCTAATTGCCGAAGTGAACCTCTGGTTGTTGAGAGCACCCGCTGGCCAGCCCTGGTACTGCAGCCCACAAGGCAGGTGAGTCCCACCACTATTGGCAAGTCCATTCTTGACACTAAGCTGCAGATAATTCCTGGAGCTTTATCCTTCATGGACTATACTGTAACCCTACAAGCTTCCCCCATGTTTCCTAATTAATAGGTGATAAAGTGTTATGTGATTTCCACCTCAGCTCCAATATTTAGGGCTCTTTCACATGGATGTTCCGATCGAGTCCACCTGCCCGTTTTTCAGGCGGACCCGATCAGAACCTCCATTCTCCTCTATGGAGCAGCAGGTATAAACGGACATGTGTCCATTTACACCGTCGATATCTGATCCAATTTTCATCCAACCCGATCCAATGTATGGAAAGGAAATTGGATTGGGATCCAATTTCCTTTCCGTACATTGGATCGGGTCGGATGAAAATGGACAGGCAGTCTATTTTCATCCAGCTGCCCATTGAGGAGAGTGAGCAGCTCTGTGTCTTCTCTTCAGCAGCAGAGCAGACACAGAGCTGTCATCCGCTTGCTCAGCAGTGAGATCTCCCACTGAGCAAGCAGATCCTCTCCGTGTGAAAGGACCCTAACTTATCCCATGATCTGGACGAAGACACAAAAGCAGCACTTGATGAAGCTCCAAGAATGGACATCTTGCACTCTTCATGTTACATGTGTTACTGTACCCCTGATTAGGTTTCTAGAGATGTTTCTGCTTTCAATGGCAGGTGGACATATTTTTCAATGTCCACTGCAGAGCACCTATTGAGAGCATTGAGGGTTAACATGTCTAAAAACATCTACCTGGCTTCAACTGACAATTTCCTCCACCTTCCTGATGCCAAGGTGACATCCTTTTTCAGAGCAGAGCAGACACAGAGTTGTCATCCACTTGCTCAGTGGAGAGACCTCCCACTGAGCAAGTGGATCTGCTCTGTGTGAAAGGACCCTAAGTTATCTCATGATCTGGATGAAGACACAAAGCAGCACTTGATAAAGCTCCAAGAATGGAAATATTACGCTCTTCATGTTACATGTGTTACTGTACCCCTGATTAGGTTTTCTGGAGATGTTTCTGCTTTCAGTGGCAGGTGAACATATTTTTCAATGTCCACTGCAGAGCACCTATTGAGAGCATTGAGGGTCAACATGTCTAAAAACATCTGCCTGGCTTCAACTGACAATTTCCTCCACCTTCTTGGTGCCAAGGTGACATCCTTTTTCATTTGCCACCAAGGAAAGTTCTTTCATATATAGTCATGACAGTCTGCTTCTTTCTAAGAGAAGGACCCCAGTGCTAGCAGTGAACACCAGGACACAAAAGACCCACACATCAATGCTTGGGTCCATCAGCAAGTGTTCCCCTTGTTTTAGGTTGCACAGTTCAGGAGCTGTGTATGGAATGAACCTGGATGGTGCTTGAGGACCCTGGAGCCTTGTGAGTCCAAAATCTGCCAGTTTGATCACTCAAAGTCAATCAGCAGAATATTGATGTTCCTTTGCTATGCATGAAGTTGAATACACTTGCTATCTAGGGAGCACAATGTGTTACTATATCTTCATTTAAAACAACCTGTAGAAACCTTCTTTGTCATGTGAAACTTGTAAAAGAAAAACCATGTATTAAATATACCTCATAGCATCAGAATGTTTATTAAATAATAAATATCCATTGATTGGTTAGATGAAAGTGACCTTACCTTAATGTGGTGAGGATTCCGCTGTGATGAAGTCCAATTAGTTTTCTTTGAGTATTGGGTTCCTCTGCAGAACAACAGCGGACAACGTCACCAAATCTCCAGCTGGGCTGTAGTAGATGAGTATACTGGAATCTCTGGAAGTAGAATGACTGATCAGAGGAGGGGGAAGCCATCTTTATACAAGGGAAATGGGCGGGGAAGGCAGAGAATGGAGGCTTTCCATTGGATGACTTCTAATTGAAATGTTTTGTAAATAACCCCGCACTGTTCTTGCTGATTTGCATATAAACTGGTTTTCTGGAGAATAGGTGATGGGATTAAACGTGATGGAAGTGGAGTCACTGATCAGAAAAGGGAGATGGGCGGTTAAGGCAGAGAAAGAAGGGTTTCCATTTGCTGATTTAAATGTTACATAGATAACCTCGGAATGTTTGCGCCAATTTGCATTTAAAACAGTTATTCTGGAGAAGAGAAGATTAAGATTAAACATGATGAAAACCAAACACTGATCTAAAACTTTCCACCATAATAACTATAAAATGTAAATAGATTTTTTGTTAAATTGGTACTTTTTAATCAATCTGTAATCAGGTAAAAAAAATCAGATTGAGAAAAAATGAACCAGATAAATTATTGAGAAAGAACAGTCTCATTGGAACATTGGCAGCTTCTGGATCTTTCTTTAAAGTGGAGTTCCACCTAAAAAAAAAAAATAAGTAAAAAAGTCAGCAGCTACAAAACTGTAGCTGCTGACTTGTATAATACAGCCACTTATCTGTCCCTCAGTCCAGCGGTATCCTCAACACGGCTGGTTTCACCGGCTGTCTTCTCTCCCTGGCGCCGGCATCTTCAGTGTGGGCACCCAGCTGTGACAGCTTGTGGCTTCACAGCTGGGTGCCCACTGCGCATGCGTGAGAAGTGCTGCACTTTATGAATGGTCCTGTAGTCTTCTGGGACCTGTCACGTGTCCCACAAAAAACTATGGGGAGAGAGGGGGGTAGGATGACTTCCGCTTCCGATCACCTAGGTGATCACAGCAGAAATGGGAACGGGTACCTGTTAAATTTGGGTGCCCGCTCCCCCAAAGATGTCAATCCTTAATGGGGGGCTTAAAGTGGAACTTACCCTTTTGGGTGGAGCTCCGCTTTAACCCCTTGCCCTCCAGAAAATTCCCCCCCCCCCCCGACCAGACCATTCTTTGCATTACTTTAACTGACAATTGCGCAGTCATGAAATGCCACACCCAAATGAAATGTATGTCCTTTTTTCCCACAAATTGAACTTTCTTTTGGTGGTATTTGATCGCCTGTGCGTTTTTCACTTTTTTTGTGCTATAAAAAAAAAAGAGTGACAATTTTGAGAAAAATTTAGACTTTTTGCTATTAACCTCCCTAGCGGTGTGATTATGTCCATATTTCTGTGCTTAAGTGGTACTTTTTTTTGCATGGAAATATGTATTTTTTTTATTGTAGGCTGTAATTTTTAGGAATAACTCACTGAGATCTGTCCGAACAAGAGTCTAGTAATCATCCTGGGGAGGATATTTGAAACACAAAATCATAAATTATAATTTAATAAATAATCATAAAAAATAATAATATAATAATAATACATTTAATTCAATAATATAATCAAACCAAAAACTCTGAAATGTGAAATATAGCGCCAAGTTCGCACATCGCTGAGCTCAGTCGCAGAATAGTTTTCAGTGTCTGATGAGGAATTTCCCCCACCAATCATTATCACTCAATTCTGCAAGTGGTTCTGATTTACTATCGCTGTTCTCTAGCCGGTCTAAAACCGCGTCTGACCTAAAGGGACGCTTTGTGGACGCCATGGACGTTTCTCAGTTTCCAGGCAGAAAGAACAGTAAAAATGCAGGCACTCGGGAAATGGTGATATGGTTTGATACAGGAATGTTATACTATGTGATTTTAGTGTATTTAGTGAATGTCACTTTTTGTCATTTTCAAATTTCCTGCCGGTTCCAACCCCGTACGTCCCGACGCTCGCAGGGGACGGAACCCAGAAGACAGATGCCGGCATCCACTGGATTACATTTCCGGAGACACTGCAGGAGGGACATCGCGGGACCGCAGGACAAGGTAAGTGATTGAGGGATCCCAGAGCAACGCTGCATGGTAAGCCCGAGTGTAGTTCGGGGTTACCACTTGTGGTGCTGAAACTTTACCTCGAGCTACACTCATGAATACCGCCAGGGGGGTTAAAGAAGTCCAGTAAAAAAAATAGTAAAAAATCAAATTACGTCATAACTTTCGGCCAAAATGTATTCTGCTCTGTGTCTTTGTTAAAAAAAATCCAAATACGTGTAAGTTCATTGGTTTACAAGAAAGTTATAGCGTTTACAAATGGCAGTATAGATAATGGATTTTTTTTAACTAGTAATGGTGGCAATCAATGACTTATAGCTGGACTGCGACGGGCATTCTGACACTGGGGGGAACTGACTTGGTGTCACTGACATCCCCAGTGACACCAATACACTGATCAGTGCTAAAAAAAAAAAGCACTGACACTGTATTATGGCACTGGGCAGGAAGGGGTTAACATGAGGGGCGATCAAAGGGTTAACTGTGTGCTGTGTTTGTTTAGCTAGGGGGGCGGTGTCTGTCTGTGTGCTTCACTGTAATCACACTGATTGGGATGGCTGTGCTGTGTAGTGTGCCCAAGCCAACAGGGAAGAAGACTATTAGGCTGGCCATACACTATACAAGTTTCTGCCCAGTTTCCTTTAGATTTATCTTCAGCTATGTAGTACAAGAGCCCGCCTAATTGGATACAATTGAAAGTTTTGTCAGATTTGACCTCATATTATATGGTTTTTGGTAAATCTAAACCAAAAATCTCAAGAAAATTGTATAATGTATGGCCAGCCTAAGTAAACAAAACAGTCTTCCTCCCCATCAGAGATGCTCAGTAATCATTGGGTGTCAGCGGGTAATTACCGACCGGGACCCGGTGATTGACATCCATGGCCCTGAATGGTGATGTGGGTAGGGTGCGTGCATGGCTCATGTTCGCCCCCTACCCGGAAATGCAGAATGACATATAGATACGTGATCCTGTGCAGATGCCTCCCTGTAGCTGTATATCTGCTTGGCCGGTCCTTAAGTGGTTAATTTTCAATGAACGCATTGTTTTTACTACACTTAGTAGCCTAGCTGCGTTTACATGCGTCAAGAGTTTTTCTCTGCCAAAACCCTGCTGCTCCAAGGCACTGACCTTGTTCTTTTCCTTTTTTTCTTCTGATACTAAACGTCTCTGTGCATGGATACATACAGTAGGATAACATGGAGGGGGTGGTTCAAAGCACTACAAAAAAAAAAATCCCTCACACCCCTAAAAGTGGCTGCAAAAATGCCCTGTGTGCATGAGGCCTTAACGTGTTGGCTGGCCAAAGATGGATTGAAATTCCACCGATCCGTATGTGGCCGTTACCAATCAGCAGAAGTCAATATACCAGTTTGCTCTGTCAAGGGGGAATGCTGGGAAACGTTCATCCGGTCACCAGCCATTGGGTTGGAACTTTGATTAGTGCATTTGGACAGTAGAAGAATCCCGCTGTCAGAATCCAATAGCAGATCTGGCCTGCAAAAGAGAACCGCTTTCATTGTCTTGGTGAGAAAATAAAGTCCTTCTTTTTCTACAAAGTTGCCGTAATCTTGTGTTCTCTTCACCACATTCTCCTGTCAATGGAAGGAACTGGTGGGGGTGGTGTACATGAAGTGCCAATATCAGGGCTGAGATGTCTTCACTCTCCATTGTAGATTGCTTATTGAGGTGTGTCAAAAAAAATAAGAAGAAAAATAATTATATATTTGTTAGAAGGCAGTCTGGAAAAGTCCAGTTCTGGATTTCCACATCTCCCGAGCACTTTTTGAGACTTCTGATCTATTCCAGGTTTTCCACCTCTCCCTTTCAGTCAATTTAGTCTCACCTGGACCCCCAAGGTCAGTACTCTGCTGTCTGGAGAGGAAACAGGTCTTCTCTGTTGGAGCCAAAGGTTGGTTGAGTTGTGTATGTGGAGGCTGACAGTGACTAGGCTTGGTCAGTTTCATCCCTGATGGGTACATAGAGCTGAGACATGGCTAGGTTTTGTTGAAATATTCATTTTTCAGCCTCGTGCACATTGGATGTTATAGGACCACTAGTAGTGTTAGCTGTAGAATGTCCTCTTAAAAACACAAGTTTTGTTGTGTTTTTCTTTATGTATTTATTTTATTTATTTTTCTTTTACATTTAGTGGTTTTCAGTATTTTTTTTTTTTTTTTTTTTTTAGTAAAACTATACTCAAGTTTGAGGCTCATAAACACCAGATGGCCCTTTTTTGTGTATTTATCAGCATTTTTAGAGTAGTTCTGTGCTTTGCAGGGTTTGTGTGGGTCCTCTTCTTCCCCCCCCCCTTTTTTTTTGGGGGGAGGGTTGTCTCTTTGGGGTGTTGTGTCTTTATTGGGGTTTTTTGTCGGGGTTGTGTGGTTTTTTTTTTTTTTTTTTTTTTTCCCCCAGCCAGTAAACAACCCTGCCAAAAAGCGCTGATTAAAGCCTATGGGATTTATGTACTACAGCTGGTTCACTCAGGATCTTGCGCACTTCTGCACAGAAACCAGTCGGCTTCCAGGTTTTATTGGTAAAGCTTCATTGAACAAGCTGAATGTAGAAGCTGATTGGCTCCCAAGAACAGCTGCACCAGATTGAGTGAACCGGCTTTAGTAAATAAACCTCTGTGTACATGGACATATAGGATAACATGCTGGGGAGTTTACTGGCTGTTGAAGGGGAAAAAAAAAAACATCAAAAGCCAAAAACAGCTGCTGTAAAAATGCCCTGTGTGCATGAGGCCCTTCTCTGAAGCATTGTCCAGCATCTGGGAATGGCTCCCGGGTTTTTTTTTTTTTTTTTTTTTTTTTTGTTCTATAAAAAATTTTGCAAACAAGTAATTTTTCTCCTGCACTGATGGGCGTTGATGAGGCTGCACTGATGGGCGTTGATGAGGCTGCACTGATGGGCGTTGATGAGGCTGCACTGATGGGTGGTGTTGACCATCAGGGCACTGATCTTCAGTGCCGATCTGCTCTGACAGCTGCTGGGTATCGGCAGTACTTTCCTAGCCCTGTGACAGCGTGAGGAAAGTGCTGCCGATATCCGGCAACTGTATATACTCGGTGATCTGCTGTGTCATTGGACACAGCTGATCATGTGGTAAAGGGTCGCTGTGCTTGGCCTCTTACCTCATCACGGGATCAGCTATGTTTGTAGGACACAGATAGTTGGGTCCACACCCCTGGGGGTGTGCGGGAGGACGTCATATGACGTCCTCCCAGAACTGGGTAACCGCGCTGTAGTTGTCATTCGGCTATAGCACGGTTAGCAAGTGGTTAAAGATCCAAAAAAGGTGGAGGCATCTTTATCCTCATAAAGGGTCTTCTAGTTTGGTTTAAAATTAAAAGTGCTGACATCCTGTATTAGCCATCTGGTCATTTTGGGTGAGCTGAACTAGCCAGAAGCTCTTGGGTGGATTGAGCACATTGTGTCTGTAGATTAACCTCTTCCCGTCCGGCCGATGTCGCTAAACCGCCGGACGGGAATGCTACCAATGCAGGTGGACGTTTCTAAACGTCCCCCCCGTATCCATTGCCTATGCTTGGAGCGTGCGGCACCACGATCGGTGCCTGCTGTGTCTGGAGGACACAGATCGCTGTATGGGACCTCTCTGAGGTCCCGATTCATGTGATCTCTGGCCAATCAGTGATCACATGAACAGTACTAAACAAGATGTCCCTTCCTGACATTGCTTACACTGCTTGTGAATTCTGTGAATCATCAGGTCACATGGTACAAGGCTATTCCCAACACCCTTGTACCATGTGACAATCTGTGACCAATCACAGCTCGCACAGTATTTCTCAATGGCTGCAGGAATGGAGCCAGAGAGGAGAAATTGTTTTTTACACCCATAATCAGTATAAAAGGGGAAAAAAAAAAATCTTCATCACCCCCCCACAAGTAGTACAGTGTCACTATGGTGACACCGTATTAGTAGAATGACAGTATGTTTAAAAAATATCTAAAGTGAGAATTTTTGAGAAATTCTCATTTTTGGATATAAACTAATTTTGGTTATTTTTTTACAAAAAATATTAATACATTTTGGCCAAGATTTAAGAGACTACTTGCAAAATTTTAGAAAACTTTTTTTCAAACTTTTTTTTTGGACTCTTTTATAGAAAAAAATAAAAATGCCAGTGGTGAATAAATACCACCAAAATAAAGTTTTATCTGTCTCCAAAATTGCTAAAAAATTCATATGGATACAGTGTTGCATGACCGTGCAATTGTCATTCAAAGCTGAAAATTGGCCTGGACAGGAAGGGGGTGTAAGTGTCCGGACTTGAAGTGGTTAAACAATGTTACTGCAGCATAAATGTTTGTTTTTCGCTAGATAGGGAGGTTGTCAGGAATCCTCCCATGTATCTGTGTAGGCAGGTACAGTCTGTTTTCTCCACTGTAGGTGGCGCTTGACCACAGTCAGTCTGGAAAGGAAGTCGAGAGGAAACTGGTTCTCTGTGGTTTCTTGGGTTAATGGAGCAGTGTTCTGGTTGGCTACACTGCAGCCATGTGACCCTCGGTTGCTATCTTGGATCAGCAGGGTCTATATTTCTATCCCAGGGTTTATATTTGAGTCCCTGCCCCCAGGTTTTGGTGAGCATTTTGCAAGTGGCTAGTGTAGGGAGAAACCTTCCGCTTGTTGTTTAAAGTAACTAGCCGCAGGGAAAGGTTCCTGATGAAAAGGGACAGGCTTTGGGACTGGACCAGCCAGACCAGGTGGCACTTCACCCTCTGAAACACACTTGTTGGCACCTCTTCCCAGCCACATTTGCTTGCATTGAACTGTGAGTTGTATCCCTAAGCTGTGCTCTGCCACTAGTTTCTATAATTTTGGCATATTGCTCAATGCAAGTTTCAAGTTTATTACGACTGAACATTGTGTGTTCACCACGCTTGGCAGGAGATGTCTCTTGCAGCGGGTGTGGAAAGGAGGACTGGGCTCCAGTATGGCTTTGCATCCCTCGTACTAAAGTTCAATGACTTTACCGTACCCCTGGAAGAATGGGAGGAGAGGTTGGAGAGTGCCACACACCTGTACTCAGAGGTGTATTTTGGTTTTGTGCTGCCCTAGGCAAGACTAAAACCGGGGAACCCCCCTGCATCTAAATGTGTCCCACCCCTTCCTGTTTAAGATCCACCCCTTCTTCTTTAAGCTCCACCTCTTCCCATTAGAGCGCCCTCTTCTTCTCTGAACATTAAAAGTGGATAACGAGTGAATTTTATTATTTTTTTTTTTTTTATGTACCATTACAAATGTATATATGATTTTAAGAGATATTTATATAAAATATTGAAAAAATGTAAATTCAACCATTTTCACTTTATTTTAAGTAAACGGATATATAAATATTTTTAACTTAAATGCAACTTTTAGCCTCATACAAAAATGCTTGCTTTCCATTTTAATAAACATTGTCAAGTCCTGTGCCTCTCTTTGGTTGTGCCTGTCGGAATCCTATGCTCCTTTATCTGACAGAATCATGCTGGACCAAGGGCGGACTGACCATTTGGAAACTCGGGCACTGCCAGGGGTCAGTAGGGGGCCCCATGAGATGTCCCTGGTACCTTTTTCATAGGCTTTTTGAGTTTGGGCAAGGACACAGGGGCCCCATGATCCCCTATTGCCTGGGGGCCCCATGAGTTGTCAGTCCGCCCCTGTGCTGGACACCAAAAGCCACATGGCTGAGTGCTTTTGAGGGCCTTCCGCCTAATTCAGAGCTGAATAAATAAAACCTATAAGTCATAACTTTAAGTGGAAACTGTTGAATGTCATTCCACAAAAAACCTTTAGTTTATCTAATTCACACTTTTTTATTTAATTCATGAACTGTGTGGCAAAGCTCTTGATAAACTCATCAGAGTCCAAAGATTTTGTGAGTGTTGCCAACACAGCCAGGGAATTCAACCTTTCCTCTCCCATTCTGGATCGCAAGTAGTTTTTCACGCGCTTCAAAGTTGAGACAGAACGCTCAGCTGAGCAGTTACTTGCTGCTGTGCACAAAAAACATTCTTACAGCAATTTCCACATTTGGCTATATACTTTGCAATCCTCTCATCATTCAGGACATAGCTAGAACAGAGGTATATTCTGCCGAAGAACTTATGAGGTGTGAACGAAAGTGGAGGCACTCCTCACCAAAACACTCCTGATCCAAGTCTTTGCTGTAGAAATGACAAAGGTGACTTGCATGCTGTGATATTGCAGATGGCTCTGTTTTTGATAGATCCGTAATAGTTTTAAAATTTTCTAAAAGTCATAAGCAGTTTTTTCTTTTGCGCTCAGCCACTACGTTGTAACAAATTACGTAAAAGGTGTTTATCCAGAAATTTTCTTTTGTTTCCTCTGCTTATGTCTTGCTGGAAGTTGCTGAACTTTTCTTCGATTTGTATACCTTTCCTCTTGATCTCATAGTTCTTGACAGATGATTTTTTTCCATTGCTGTAGCTTCATAAGTCATGAACATTTCTCTGGTGTCATGAACAAACTGGATCAGTGATTCATAGAGCTCCAATACAATTCCAATGTCAATGCTTTGGGGTTTTTTACTAACTGCTCCAAATCTTTGTGGACTAGTACCCCATATGTGCAGTCTCCAAATGTATTGTATTCAGTAGACCTTCAGCTTCCTTGCTTGCTCCTAGTGCCTCTGTGGCATTTTCCTTAATTAAGGCTTGGACTACTTGAGACCAATTCAGAATTAAGCTCCAACAAGCATCTTCTCTGGATGACCACCTTGTCAGATAATCTCTTTAATGATAGCGAATTGAGCACAGATAAGTGTTCTTGTAAAATCTTCCATCTGTGAGTAGAAGCAGTAAAAAAAAAAGTCAAGGTATTGTAGGAGACAGAAAAATGAGCAGGCTTCAGTGCAACTTTCAGCAGCATGCTTCCCTACTAGATTTAATGAGTGTGCAGAGCATGGAACATAAACAGCAAGTGGGTTTCTTTCCAGAAATCTGGCTTGCAATCCTCTATAATGACTGGACGTATTGCTTGCATTATCATATGACTGACCACGACACTTGGCAAGATCATATGACTTAAGAGTGGTGAAGACCACTTCAGCCAGTTGTTCCCATCAGGGGCGGACTGACAACTCATGGGGGCCCCCGGGCAATAGGGGATCATGGGGCCCCTGTGTCCTTGCCCAAACTCAAAAGCTTATGAAAAATGTACCGGGGGATTTCATGGGGCCCCCTATTGACCCCGGGCACCCGGGCAGTGCCCGAGTTTCCAAATGGTCAGTTAGCCCCTGGTTCAAATTTATGTCCAGGATTTGTAATGAATTGTAGAAAGCTCTCAATTGGTAAGCCATCTTCCTTGACATACCGTAAGACGAAGGCCAGCTGACCAATGTGGGTGCTATCTGGTGTTGAATCAACAATGATAGAATAATATTTCATGGCCATTGCCTCCTTAACTATCTGCTTTGTAACAGTATCGGCCATAAGCTGAATAAAAGTCTCAAGTAGCAAATGAGAGGTAAGATGTGACTCCTTTTCCTGCATTGCCATAACGGGCAATGTTTTCAGCTATAAATGGGTCGAATTATGAAAAAATTCAAACATGTAGTTTCCATTGTGTGTGTGTGTGGAACCAAAACACTCATCTTTCCCTCTGAAAGAAAGTCCTCCAGTACCAAGAGCCCTAACAGCAGCAACAACTTTTTAACACATTTCTCCAATATTGGGTTTGATCCAAACGCTGCTTTTGTGAGACTCGTCAATTCTCCCCAATGTACATGCTCTTGATTTTAAAGAGCACACAGGATTTGTGTTCAGCTGAATGCTCATGTTCTTTTAATCGAGCTGTGCCATTTTTTAAAATCATTGAATCCACTCATTGCCAACTGGGACTTGCCACCAAACGGTGTGGAGCACAAAACACAACTCCTTTGCTTTTGGAGTAAACCATATTGCTCCTTTTTGTTTCTCACCATTAAAGTTTTCTTTCTTCAAACGGGTGTTTTGTTAGCATCCTAAAGGTGTCACCATTCGGCCTTCTAGATTGTGTGAAGTCCAGATTGTCATTTTTAATTCCTTGTTTAGCCACATGGTCTCGGGTATAATCATTTAAAACCCATTCAGCGGGGTCAGAGCTCACTCCTAGTACGGCAGGATCATCAAATTCTCTTGAACTCGATGGTTCTCCACCAGATTTAGAAGTCTCAGTTCCACTAATAATACTACTGTCACCCTCTGAAATGTCAGAACTGCAGAAACTACATCAGTTTCACAAATGTCACCAGTTAAATCTTCAACCACCCTCCCCACCCTTTTCAGTACTAGAAGAGGCCACAGGTTTGGAGGAAAGAGCAATTTTTTTTTTTTTTTTTTTTTTCCTGTCCAATTTCCCTGTTTTTTTTTGTTTTTCTTGCCTTACTTTGGCATTTTATTTTTTTCTGTACCCGGCTTCACTTAGCATTTTTCACCTGTCACTCATGGCTGCTGAGGATAGTAATGCTGTGATGAATAAAGGTAGATGTTATCTGAGGTGGAACTTTGTACTTATTTCACTATTAACACCTAAACTACAGACAAGTTTTGTAAATACAAAAAACAAATACAATCACAGGCTGCTCTATGTGCATAGCGGGGAAGCCCACTTTACATAGCATAGCGGGGAAGCCCCCTGTACATTTTGACATATCCTGCCAGAAGCTGGATTCAGCGACCTGGTAAAATAGTAACAGATTCCTGTATTCTGCCAGCATCAGAGTTAGAAGGTTGTGTGATTTTACTGATAGAAAGTTCCGTCCAGGGAAAATGCCTAGTGTGCCTTGTGGTAGATACACCTCTGAATACACTGTACAACTGTCACAGAACTGAACCACCATTGTATAAAAGATGTTGACACAACCAGTAAAATCTCATATGATTTCAAAAGTCCTTCTCAATCGCTGCATTTCTGAAGCTTTTTTTTTTTTTTTTATAGAAGTAATCCCTGGTGATCCCATCCCACTAGAAAGTTCCTTATACAGGCTCGTCCTGTAAAATGGTTTCAAAGCTCAGCCAAATTACTGCTCCTGGCCTGAGACCCCTCGTGCAGATTACTGTCCCTGGTTGAGCCTCACATCCCCGGGCCCAGGGGTGGATTGCCTGCAATGCAGTGGTATGAACCAAGCACATAGGGACAAGGCATTTTGCCTTTTCCTGCAATGGGACTGCGTTGGAATGGATGCCCCACACACTCAAACCACACATGGTGCCAGTGTACCCAGAAACGTTCAATGACTTGTCATTTGCCAGCAATGTTGAAGACCCTTTTTCCTTTTGAAAATGTCAGTGCTACTGCAGCACTTTCTGTACATGAGATTCACCCCGTTCACAGGTAGGATACTGGTTCCCTCCAGGCATGTTATTTAAAAACAGACGTTTTTAATGTCTCATGTTAAGCATATAAAATCTAATGGATTAAAAAAATGCTTACAATTTCCTTTTATTACCTTCACAGCAACTGTTCTTCTACCGGAGGAAAAAATCCCATTATGTTTCTTGTAGATGAGCTAATGTTTGGTCTGAACCCAAGGCAAACTGTTGCATGACAGCGGATAACCATTCCAAATCAGCTGCAGTCATGGAATTAACCATTCTGCAGCCATATGTAACAAGGGGGCAGGGATGCTGGTGACAGCATTGACTCAGTGGTCACATAGCTATCTTTGGTCGCTGACACCAACAGTGGGGCATTATTCCTCCCACTGACACTGTCACGATATAAGGTCAGGTTCAGAGACCAGTTGCTACAGCAGTTGTAAGGCTTACCTGAAACCAGCAGGATTGGTACACCAGCGGCCCACCCTGGGAATGACGCAGGCTCACCTGAGGTGCGGGGTCTAAGCATCCACCGGTCTTCCCCAGAGCTCCTAATGGTGGAGATGGATTTGGCTGCATGTGAATGCCAGGTCGCAGATCTCAGGATCACCCCACCAAGGAATGAGTAGGCTGGAAACCAAAAGCGGATCAAACAGAAGCGGAGTCAGTCACAAGCCAAGAGTTGGTCACCAATGGTAGTAGGATGAGGCAGAATCGTAGTCAGTAGCAAGCCAAAGGTCGGTAACGTAGATGAAGACAGCAGCAGGAACAGTAAGCGGGATATTGGCTGGTAAGGCACAATAATCTGGCAACCAGGAAGTGCATGGACATGGCTTTTATTGGAAGTTCATGGGAGGAGCAAGGAGTTCAAGGTTCAAGACAAAACAGGGCAAAGGCAGGATCATCCAAAGAATTGTCAAGGGAGCTGTCCAGCATCCCAGGTGGCTCAGTGAGAAGAAACACTGTCTCTCACTGCAGAAAGCCCAGGTTCGATTCCAGGCTCTGACAGACACCAATGACTGTTAACTTGCTGACCCCTGCTCCAGCCTAGGTGCTTCAGCCAGCATACCTGGTTGCAGCAGCACCATCTGCATTACTTGCCTCCTTCCTTCACTCACTGGTCATGCTGCTGCTCGGCTCCGTCTCCTCGCAGGTGATTGGCCACCTGTGTGACTCTCCTGAGCTACAGTTCTGGCGCCCAATCACCGATGAGGAGGCTAAGCTTGCAGACAATGTCGTCCCGCCCACACATCACTTTACCCCTCCTCCAGCAGCGCTTCCTGGACTGGATCCTCATGTGACTCGGAACGGAGCCAGGTAAGACACAGCAGCCCCCTGCTGCCCCTGTACTAAATGTCTCTTCCGTTGGAAGGGGGGTGGCGGTGGCACCGTGTGGGCCCCCCCCCCCCCAAAAAAAGTGCTGCCCTAGGCAAACTCATTGTTTGCCTCGTGGCAAATACGCCCCATGCCTGTACTAGGTCCTGGTCAGGCTAGTGGTGGAGCAGGCTATTAATGCTTTAGAGAAGGATGCATGCAAAGTGGTTATGTTGCTGCCAGAAGAGGAATTGGTCACTATAGAACAGATTGTGTCACACTTTGAGGGCTTCTTTGGGGAGAAGATGGCACTGCTGAGGCAGAGGTTCTTCAGCAGAAAACAGAAGGATGAGAACATCACTTATTACCCAGTGGCTATGCAGCTCTTCTGGAGGAGCCTGAAGAAGCAGGACATGCATGGCTGCACTGATTAAACTAGGTTTGATTACAAGCTGAGGTATCAATTTATGGCACACCATGAGGTGTTGTTGGATGCAATTGCTGGAGAGCAGGAAGAGGCAGATGTGACTTTAGCAGTAACCAAAAGTATGAGCCAGTGTACCTCAAGGAGGTGGCCTTGATGCCTTCACCACTGTCAGCCTGCAATCTGCATGGAATTGGCTAAGGATGTAGCCACTTTTTTTTTTTTTTTTTTGTTTTTTGTTTTTTTAAGCAAGACTGAGCCTCTTTCAAAAAGGACTCCTTCCAACTCCAGAGTGAGAATAAATTGTGCAGGGACCCAAAGGAGGACTGGAAATGCTGACCGTGTGGCCGATATGGTCATTGTTTAGCCTGTTTGCCTTGGTTAAAGGATAGGAAGTCCCATGCTTGATTGTATGTAGAAGTCCTATTTCATCAGTGACCTCTGACCCTCTGTGTCAAAGACTTGGTTCACAGGAACAGTTAGACCCCTGCTGGCTCTACCTTCAAGCAACCAATAACCTTCCTATGGTGGGGAAAGGCAGAACCTGGCTGAAGATCCAGGGGATGAAACAAGTGAGTAGTGGTGGCAGTCACTGCCTGCAGTCTAGTAAACCTGGCAGTGCCTATAGTGTTGGGAATGTATTGAAAGACCTTGACTCTTACCCCACCTGCTAGCCTTGTATGAATGCTTAAGCAGACAAGCCCGTGGCTTTGAGTGCTCCAGGCCTTTGGACATCTAAGTCTGGACAATGTACTGTCTTCAGTTGGGCCTCAAAGTCCATCCTTTCAGGCCAAGACTCAAACTTTGAGCCTGTGGTCATGACCAAACTGTGCCACCTAAGTGGTATCCGGAAGTCCTACATCACTCCCCACCATCCTCGGGGCAACAGGCTTCATCCGCATTGTACAAGAACATTGAAAGTGAATGCAACAGACCAAGCAACTGGTGTTTGACAACACAAGGCTGTAGCTCTGGAGTAGGCCTTCAAAGAATTGCCCTTATGGCTGGGGGACCAGGTGTTGGAGAAGAACACACAACACAACCCAGGTAGTAAGCTGGAGCAGAAATGGGAATACAACCCATACTGGGTGGAGAATCCTTTCCCACCTACCCCTGTCTCTGAACTGATTCCTGAGGACCCAATCCCCCTAACTGACTACCTCAAAATACCTGCTGAGAATCCAAAAGCTTTAGACTATGCCAACCTCCCTC